ATATATATATATTGTACACATACCCTGATTTTTAAATCACAGTATTTTTGTTTGTATGTTTATTTAACAGTGTAATTCAAAACAGAATTAAATAGAATTTGTTTTTCCTACCATTGGCAGAAATAACACTAAATAGCAATTTTCAATTCGAAATGTCTGGGAAACAGAAGATAAATGTAATATTCAGAAAAATGCCATAATTAGAATAAAGCCTCCCTAGATGCATTAATGGCTTTATGTTGTGTAAAGGATATTCCCTCTTAGGAAACATTGGCTTAAGTGAGAAAACTGGTTATTTAAACTAAGATTCTCTATGCATGAAAAAAGTTTTGTTGTCTGGATATTTATCCCCTAATGGAACAAAATCGTTTTATTAAGTTGTACAGCAGGTTTTCCTAAATTCTCTGGTACCCTCCACACACATACATGATATCACATAGTTCATGCTCTAAGTGTAGAAAAACTGGTTGAATGCCTCTATTTCCAAGCATATATCTTAAGATGAGTCAAATGTTGCATTATTTTTAATGCAATCAGAGAGACCTCTTTATCTGAAAGGCCTGTAAATGGAAAAGTTGGTAATGAATGAAGGGTTAATCATCCCATCATTTTTCCCTTGCTCCTCTTTTCTACAAAGCACTGTTCTATATTACATATATGTGCATTTAATATTTAAGTAATCTTATTTAGTGATACAAAAAAATTTCTATAAGGAAATTCATATAATCTCAGTGATCAACAATCACTTCTTTACTCTGGGTTGTTGTTACTGCAGTTTTGAACAAACAAATTAATGGATATAAATGCTTTTAGTTTCATTTGATAAATTAAAAACAAAAACAGGTTGTGATCAACTATGGAGTGTGTGACAATGTCTAGCCACCAATTTGGCTTTATAGGGATAATTAAAAGCATATCAATCCAAACTGAAAGGTTTCTCATTAGTGCTGATACAACCAAGTTATAAGATAAAAACTTGGAATTGAGATACCATCTGGTATAGATTCACATAAAATGCTACAAATAAATTGGACTGATTTTGAAATGTCTTCCTGGCACAAATGTCCTCTTATTTAAAAAAAAAAAAACCTGTTGCACATTTATGAAAACAATCTGTTTCTTAGAACCTGTAATGTTTCATTATGACACATCTTCTGAATTTGCTATTTTCTTATCATTGCAGTATTCAATGAACTCAATGAAAGAAGCATTTTCAGAAATGTAAGAAGTGGAAAAATATACTGCACCCATGATAGAAAAAAAGTTTTAAAATGATTTACATTAGTAATTTTTAGTTTTATTTTTTTACTGGTTGATACTGTACTTCTAGTCCAAACAGGCGGGAAATAAAATGTTGTCAATACACAAAAATAAAGGTAAAATGTAGTCTTTGTATCTTTTTTTAAAAAATCTCAAAACACGTTGAGGTTATAGACATGGCCATTGAAGTGAATATCTGTAGAAAATTACTTTTGTAAATAAAATGCCTCTTAAGTGGTTTCATCTAAATAAATGTTCAGAATAATTAAATAATTATGAAAATATTTAATCCTCTGTTTTTTGTCTTGCTTTCTTAGTTGTGAATTAAAAACATGTTCTATATGAATTATTAATTTAAGCAGTGGCATGTATTAGCTCTCAATATTTCTCAGACATTTTGTTAGGTAAGGTGTTATAAATTGAGTCCGTGAGTCCTTACAGAAGATGCAATATAGCAGGATGTGAACTTTTTTCAATGGTCCATTGTCCACAGGAACACAGTTTCAGTTCATATGGTATTTTTTAATATCGGCCTTCCAACACTGCTGTGAGAAGTGTGTTGCAGCGCACCAAGGTTAATGCCCGTTGGATTTGTGGGATGGTTATTTGATACAAAGATCTCACTGCTTTAAAAGATCCTTTGAGAGCTGTAGGCAACAACATTTCATTTTAATATATGCCGATTAGTGTACATTCTAAAGTTGTTCTAAGTGTAAGTCTAAAGGGAGATTATTAATATGTTATATATTCAGCTCTTTAAATAAGAATTTGACGTACAACTCCAAATTCTGTAGTCTCAAATTGAGAAATACTTATTAAGAAACTATCACTGTCCAATTTCAATCTGGAGAGAAGACCAGGAGGGGAAGAACAAAACCATATGGAAGCATATGGAAAATTGTTGTTAAAACAGGAAACTGTTTCAAAGATGCACAGATCTGTATCTGGCCTAATACTACTGGATGGGCTCAAACTGCCTCCAGACATATTTAAGATAACATAGAAGACATTAGAAAGAAACTTCCCATTTGACAGCTATTCTTTGTACATACAATTGATGGATGAATATAGTTTTTTTAATACCAAAATGAAGGGGTTTTTTGGCCTATGTTTTAAATTATTAATAGCTCTTCTAAACTCTGTTTTATGACCTGCCTTAGAGATTATTGGATTTGAAAAACAAGATAAGAAAATAAATTAAAAATAAATTTATATTTACTAAATTTTTATTCCATTAGTAAAAGGAGAACAAGACATGTGCATTTTAAAGTTTGCTATTTTGATATGTTTTTAATGGAAGATTTTTTTTTACAGTAAAACTAAACTAAACAAGAAAGATACACACAATGAAATTCTAAACCCAAACTTTATCTTTTCCTTACCTTGTATGACAACACTTTCTTGAACTGATGGCTATAACAGAAAAGAAGATCTTATTTTAAATGCTAAACAAATTTTTAATCAAGTGATTATGTTGTTGCACCTATAGTAATATAAGAGAGAAGCACCCAAAACATGTTTTATTTAGTATACTATCCTTTTAAAATGGATCAATAGTTCAGTTTGTTTTTAACTATGTTGCACTCTTAAAAACTTAGATTGGAAAAATTCCTGAAAAAACAAGAATACTTTAGAATAGTTACACATATTGCCTTATCTCTCCATAGCTATACATATATGATAACATCTGCAAAAATACATTCCCCAAAAATTGCAACAGAAGAGTCTGGAGAGGAAAATTAGAAAACCAAAGTGAAATGGTTGGCTATGCAAATGGTGTTGACAGGAAAAAATGGTTTGGGGGGGGGACCATAATCTGAATTATCTAAATAATGGACTGTTGGCATAAGGTCTAACAACTTTCAAGATGTGGTAAAAATTACTTTGAATACATGTTTGATTAGAAGGGCTTTAAAATAGAATCCTTGGGTGAGATGGGTTAAAAATGTGAATATTTCTAGCTCAGTTAAATATGTATGTGCTGTAGAAGAAACAGAAGTAGTAAAGTGTTCACTCCTGTGTACAAATCCAAGTGAATCAACATGGCAATGCTATGGAGACCATCTTGATTAAAATAAGTGGAAGAATAAATATGCTTAGAGGGTTCTGCAAAGCACCATGAAGCGATATATAAGTCTATTGTTATTCTTCTTTTTGGTGTCTCCAAATGTCTGTTGATTCAAAGAGAAAATGTGAACAACTTCTTTTAAAATAAATCTCAAATCTTTTAAAGAATAATAATAGGATTTCAACTATCCAGACATCTGTTGGGAGACTATGTTCATTCCAGAAGTTTCTTTACTTGTCTTAGTAACAGATTTTTTTTTTCTTCAGAGGGAAGAAGCACTTTCCAAGTTCATACCAACCAATAAAAAATTTTCAGGAAATAAAAGTAGGAGAACATGGAAGAAAACGACCATGTAATGTTGGGGTTCTTAGTTTTAAGGAAAATTAAAGCTTAATATGATCAAATAGGAAATATCTCAGTAGTAACACTACACGTGGAAAACATTTTCAAATAGTAGTTGCAAAGAAATGAAGTGTAAATGAGTGTGACATGACTGAAAGACAAAGGGCAATGTAGTTTTATGGTGCCTCACAGAAGATAATTTCCAAATAGCAGGAAGGAATATTCTGCCATATTATATACAATGGTCCAACCACACTTTAAATATTGTACCTAGTTCTAGGCATCACACTTGAAGAAAAAACGAGAAGGAATGAACAGAGGATCTCCTAAGCCTCCTATGAAATTTAGAAGAAATTAGTCTTGTATAGCTTTGAGAGGACAATGGAAGGATAGCCTGCAGTCTTCGTACACATGAAAATACATCACAAAGAGAGACAAGGATCTGTTGGTTCTGATTGCAGGACCCAGATGAACAGATTTAAGTTACCAGAAGGTAGAATCCAACTGAAAGTTAGAAAAAAGTTTTTTTTTCCCCAAAAACAAGACCAGTGAGCTACACTGGATCTCTTCAAGTGGAAGTCAGATAGACATTTATTGGGATGCTTCAATTGAGATTTCACCACTGAGTTGGGGTTCTGTGAGTTGGGACTATGTATTGCTTTTCTACACACCACACCACTAGTAACTTTTTCTTAAGTAAAAACAAGCTGAAATACTTTGATATAATTTGTAAGCAACTTTAAACGTTTTAAAATACCAGCTGCTAAACATAATGCTTGGATTTTCTGTTTTCTCTATTATATGAGAAAGCTTTACCAGTGTACCCAAAATGCAGTTTCATATGTTTGATAAAATGGTATACATTTTAACATATTGGAAAAGCAACTGACCTTTGTGGAAATGCAAATTTGGATGTATTCTGTATAAAACCATAACAACAAGGAGAGATAACAAATGCTGCACCAACTTTGACACAGTGTTCAATGACCATGTCTGTTGCCACTCCACAAGCATGCAGTGCCACCTGAAAAAAACCCCAAATATTTATTTTATTTGTTCAATTTCTATGGCCGCTCATCTCAATAATGACTTATATATGAGTGGAACATACTGCCCCACTAGCAAACGTCCATGAAAAGCTTTCTATTTATATTCCACAAAATTAGAGGGTACGCTGAGCATATTTGGAGCGTGCATGAATCAGAGAGGGAAGAGTCCCACAGTGTCAGTGATAAATGTTTTCATCAATGAAAGCATATAAAGAATACTGCTCATTAAGGAACCAATCATTCCCATGTCATTTTCTCAGCAGCTGAGTTATCTACTGGAACATCGGCTCTCATTAATTGTGTTTTTATTAGTCATACTCAGATTAGAAAAAATGTTATAGAAGTTGACACAAGAATGAATGTCAACATGTACCGTATTTCCCCATGTATAAGCACCCCCTTTGTATAAGCCACCCCCCCAATTTTTGGACTGTGAAGTTTTGAAAAAAATATTTTATTAGAAAAACAAGTTATGAAGAAAGAAAATTTACAAAGAAACAAAATTCGACGTCTAGATCTACAACTTCGGTCATGACGCCGAAAGCAGTGCGGGCGACGCTAGCAATCTACGCATCGGAACGAGAGTAGGAACGAAGCATTCAGGCCGATGCCTAGCGTATGCATTTCTATCGCGTACTCGCACTCGTAATCGTATCATCACGTACAATTTTTACAAAAAAGTATAGCATACTGCTGGAAAACCAGTTTATTCCTACTTTATTATTTTATGCATTTTTCACGTATAAAAAGTGTACCTGCTTTGTATATGCCACCCCCCTACTTTTTGGGCTTGAAAATTTTGGAAAAAAGGGGTGGCTTATACATGGGGAAATACGGTACTCAAATTAAATAATGAGAGTAATCAAGCCAACATGGAGCAATTGATATTCCACCCATTGACCAAAATTCTACAAATTTAGCAAAATAAACCTATTTCCTCAAACCTGTTTAAACTTAGGCTTAGATTTGGTTGGTAACATAAGATAGCATGAATCTCCTCCCCCTCCCCTGAAGTGTATACTGCACTTTTGTACTTTACAAGTTATGTTTCATCTAATTTGTAATAAAAGAATTTCCTAATGGTAGTTCTTGAGTACATTATTATTGGGACCAGAATCGTTTTTGCTAAGCAGGGCAATGTTGTATGACTGCATCACTTAGCAGGGTTTTAAATGGTTTTAATCTGCTTTAATAGCGCTTTAGCTACCAAAGGCAGCAGAGATATAGCTTTGTACAATGAGCATAATGTTGGAGAATCAATAATTTCATAGCAATTCCTTTCTGAATTCTGAATTTAAAAGTTTGAAATTTCTCAATTGTCATTATTCCAAGTTTAACAAAATTAAAACTCCAGGGTATTTTGGAAATGTGTAAATTTCTATAAATTTCCCTAAATATACAGTGTTTTAAGAGAGTATCTATAGTTTTCAAGTACAAACAAGGTCATAGTTACAATACTAAAATAGCTTACCCCAATATTAAAACTTCCTTTAAAATTGTCCATATTTGCTTGGATGAACCAAATATTATGTAATCCTAATTCATCACTTCTTTTTTCAGCACATATGAGTGACTGTTCTTTATTTTCTACCAAAATTATCTACATTAAAAAAGAAAAAGTAATAATCTTTGTCAATTTTTGGATTAAAAAATATATTTACAATCAAAAGACTGAAGCACTTGCACAAAGTTTCCTTGAACAGAAATGTTTCCATTATAAACATAAGTGAAAGACAATTAATCTTGATCTGAAATAGTTTTTTTAAAAATGCATTGTTCTGGGCATGTCACAAAAATCAGATACGTCATTTAACTAAAATCTCACTGTTTTCATAGTGAAAAATTGTACTAATTCTAAAGAATGGATTTCCTAACCTAACACTGATACAGCAATATATCTATAATGGTGGCCCCTCCAGTTCAAAAAGGACAGTGTGTTTCCTAAGGTTAAAGGGCTAAGGAATATTCTAGTTGCAATTCTCAGAACTCAGAATTTATTCTTGTGTGCAGTTATTATTCTGCAGTGCATCCAAAACCATTGTAATAAACACAGTATAAGTGCCAAACCTCCAAAGGTTTTATCCGGTTAGCTTATAAAAATAAAGGGTAGATGTTTGCTGGTTACTATATATACTGTCTTTCATATCAAACATCCATGACCACATTAATACCAGATGGTCTCAGTTAAGATCTTTTTCACATTTTGCAGAACTTTGCAACTGCAGTTCCCAAAATAATTTGTAAGCAGGCCTCTTTGGTTCATTGTCAAGCATTTGGAAAGAAGCTGTTTTTTTCAAGGTCACTTGCAGGCTTCATTGTGTTGAAATGATCAGCATAAATTTCCAAGGGAAAATCTCTCTGAGACTCAACACAGAGTCATGTCGTTCATATAGAAGCAGCACAATTCTGTGAACTAGTAACTAAATCATACTATTTCTCAGATAACACTTCTATATTTTAGGATATTGAATAACAACACAGATTTATATTTTTTAAAAAAGGAGGTGTTTTTTTTTTACAGTGTTACAAAACTATTACATGCTTTCCATTACGGTAAAAAATTTTTAAAAATTAAACTGGAATCAAGATTTCCAGTTTGCCAACAGGTTTGAGATTATGTAAAGTTTTGGAATGGGCTAGGCTATAAGCTAAAGTATATTCAGGCAAGTGCTTTAGCTTTTTTATTAGATTTATATAAATTTATGTAAAAGTTTTACAAAGTATCATGTAGGATACACAATGATTTGAAGATGTACTAATAGCAAATTAGAATGTATCAGAGAAAAGTCCAACTTAAATTTAATAAAGCACAACATAAAGGAAGGACACTGACACATTGGGTCACTTCCCAAGTCAAGATGTTAAAGGGCACAAAAGGGAAAAAAAAATTCAACTGTCCCAAAGCTGCTCCTCCAAAAACCAGCTGGACTTTCTTGGGTTTTTTCCCCCCTGAAAGCATTTCACTTTTCATCAAAGAAGCTTCTTCAGTTCTCGATGAGAAGTGAAACATTTTCAAGGAAAAAAAACAAAATAAGAAAGTCCAATTGCCATATGGAAAAACACCTTTGGGACAACCATGACCTTTGGATAATTGAGAATCTCCAGACTTTTATAAGTAAGGTTTTAAAGCAATGGGTTTATCCTGCCCTCCCTCTCCAAAAAAAAAGGACAACACTATGAGGAGACTTGACATCTGCACTAAAGTATATGAAGAGGCACTCTTAAAAAACAACTTGGCAGAACGTCTCCAAAAGGCAAGACAATAAACAATTCATTAACATTACAACCAAAATGTGGATGCTCTCTAAACTCAGTTGCTTGCCGGCAGGTGTTTCACTACCCAACTAGGTAACATCATCAGTGCTATGGCATGTTCTGCCAGTGTTGTTGGAATTGTGTGGTTTTCTTCTCGGTAGTTCCTTGACAAATGCAGCAGAGCAGCAGTATTTTGTTATGCATATTGTATTTACATAGAATCATAGATTGTTGCACCAGGTTGTGAGAGGACTGATCTCCAGTTTTATTAGAGAATCCTTCTGGGCTTGTTCTAATATTGCTAATTAATTATTAAATTGATATCTTCCCGCAATCAGCTGATCACTTATGGATAAAATCTTGTCATATTTAGGCTAACCTAAATGTTACCTTTGGTTTGGTCCTCCATATACTAATTTTTTTTCTTTTTTTACTCACTATCTATAGGAATTACTTTAAATGGGAAACATGAAGAAGTGTAAAAATATATGTGGTCACAAACATAATTATTTTGTTATTTTTTAAAAATATAGAAAGCTGGAATTTTCTTCATAGTATGATGACTTTTTTTAGAAATAATGGTCTACAAACTTGGAGAATATTATTGTTGAAGGACATACATTATGATCAGTTAGAAAAGATTATCCAGAAAAAAGTGACTAGGTACTTGAAAACATATTACTGTATATAAGCAGCCCTTACCTAATAGCATATTTCAAATTTTGAATTAGCAATATTTATTTTATTGGTACTTTACCTGGCACAGTGGTAATATATAACCAAGAACAATTCCAACATGGCCCTGTTCAAGACAAAAAATGAAGAAGTAAATCTTAATTTTATACAGCCACTATTTTACAATTGGACGTGTGCTTGAAATGGAAAATATGCTTTATTTTGAACTTGGAAGAAATTAACACTACAGAAGTTCCAGAAGAATTTTTGATTAGCCATGGTTCATCATAAAAAAATAATCTGGAATGTTCTGGTTATTTAAGGAAACAAAATCTGGAGGGATCCCAAAGTGATTTTACAGGATTAGTAAGGCAAGGTTGGTGTGCCTGGGACTTCTTCCTCTCCACACATCATCTTACTCTGGACTCCAAACCTTCTTCTCTTTCTTCCCCCAGACACCTGCAGTGCCTATATATTGGCCTGTGCACTTGTTCCTTCTGGCAATGTTTTTTACTGTATATTTCCATATCACTTCTGCTCTAAATCTCAGAACAATCTCTGTCTCTGGAAAAAAAAATAACACCTTTGCTCCATGTATGGATCAAGAGATGTATGCTTCAGCTTGGGCACAGAGTGGTACGGGTATGGAACATTTTGCATATCCTTATATGCAATATATTGCAACAAAATATCAATGCAGACATGAACCACTAATGCCTGTCTTGTAGGTTGGTGGTATACTTGTATATGTGTATATGTGGAAAGTAATTGAGATTGCATTTATACTACATTACCCCACCGCTGCAAAAATCCACAATTACATCTCCAGGTTTAGCCAGTTTTGTCACTAAAGCAATTAGATTATTCAGTTGCTGCTGTTTCCTCAAGGCACGATCAGCAGACATCTTTCCTAAGAATGAGAAAAAGAAATATAAATTGACTGAGAAAAAATGGTTCCTTTTTAGAATGAATTATTTAACCACTTATTCTGATTTGCAATTGATTTATTTTTTAAAGTTTAGCAGGAGTAGTTCGGATTTCATAGGGTCAAAAAAGGAGAAAAGAATAAACTTGCTGAAAATGGCTTGTACTACCAGTCAGATTTCCAAGTAAGCTTAAGTTCTGTTGATTTCTCTGACATATCCGTGTAATTTTCTTTGCCAAAACAAAAGTAGTTTGCTACTGCATTGTTCCAAGATATCTACTGATTCCCAGTCTGCTCTACATCCTTCTGCAGAATCCCCACACAAGTTCTAAGTGTGATCCCGATTAGCGTTTTGAGATCCGGTAAAGTTGACAGAACTTCCTTCTCTCTACTACCCTGGTTTCATCTGACAATATAATCTGAATAATTGGCACACAAATAAGTTTATTTATGTGCTTTCGGTTTACTAAGGATTAAATGTCAGCCTCTGCTATTGTTGGTTCCTTATGCAACATTCAGACATCAAAAAATGCACTACATGGCAGATTACAATATTTTCTATTTCATTTTTAAAAATAAATGTTTGTTCATCAAAATTAAGGTCCAATTCTCTTTGATTCCTTTTATTCAAGAAACCCACAATTAACAAGAAAACCAGAAATTATTTATCTCCAGCAGAGATAAATAACTCTACATAAGTTCTTTTTAATAGAAGCCAGGTTTTAGCTGTATCAAGGTTGGCATGAAGCACATAATCTACACTTAATTAAAAAAGTAATCCTCAAATTACTATCACAATTGAGCCCAAAATGTACGTTGCCAAGGAAAACATTTGTTAAGTTAGTTTTGTCCCATTTTACGACCTTTCTTGACACAGTTGTCAAATGAATCACTGCAGCTATTAAGCAAGCAATATGGTTGTTAAATGAATCTGGCTTCCCTATTGACTTTGCTTGTCAGAAGGTCACAAAAGGGCATCACGTGATCCCAGGACACAGCAACAGTCATAAGTATGAACCAGTTGCCAAGTATCTGAATTTTGATCACTTGACCCTGGGGATGCTGTAATGGTCATAAATGTGAAGAACAGTTCTAAATTACTTTTTCAGTGCCATTATAACTTTGTTTTGGTTTTTTTGCAAAACATTTTTATTGTTTTCCACCAGTACAAATCTTAGTTATATTTTTCAACAGCTTTTGATCAACATATATTATCATATATTTCCATAATTTATTCATACATATCATTGATATATATTTCCTTTACTTGAGATTATTGTTATTCATTTGTCTATCTGTTTACATATTGCATATCACTCTCTTGAGGTTCTCTTATAAACATCTTTTCTAATTCTTATCTCTTTTTTCTAGCCACAAGTACCATCTATGCCAAACTGAGTAATATATATAGTATTATCTTACATTTCTATTATCTATTCATACGTATCATTAATACATATTACCTTTATTTACAGTTACTATCTTTATTCATCTTTAACCGTTTTGTCTATTCATTTATACATTATATATCACTTTCTTTAGAATTTTCTTATATTCATCCTTTCTAATTCTTATCTCTCTTTTTTAGCCACATGTACCATCTATGTCAAACTGAGTAGTATTCAGATTCTTCTTTTTCTCTTATTTTTAGTGTGAGCATATCCATTTCAGCACAGTCTGCTATTTTTTGTAAAATTAATTCTTCTATTGGGACCATATGCTCTTTCCACACTTGTGCATAGGCTATTCTAATAGCCTAATTAATATTCATAAATCAAAATGATTGATGGCTCTTTCAAAACTTTTAGTGCCAGAGAAAAAAATTACCACAAAAGCAGAGACCTTTAATGGCATTTTGAAGTTCTTTCTTTCTCTCTCTCTCTTTCCCTCCCTCTGCAGAGAGTACACAAGCAACAATATTATGAGCAAGATTTACAAAGTAATTAAAATGTGGAATGGCTATTGTAGTAGTTTAAAAGTTCTGCTTTTCACTATTCATAAGATTGTAAATAGAATACATATTTATTCTAACAATGTAGAATATATACACATTACTTATATTTCCAAATGGCAGCTACATTTTATCTCGATAGTTTTATAAATGTTTTAACATTCAGGTGGATTTGCAGAAAACATGACAAAGTGGAATGCAGCACAATATCTAAGGCAAGTTGCACACGCACATGGTAACTCAGGTGCTGGGGATTCGAAACGCTGACAAGCTCAGCGTATTAGCCACTGAGCCACCACGTCCCCTTTCTGGACCATGGAGGTTTTTAAATAGGTTCAGTCTGTTTTCTAACTACTTTTCAGGGCACTAGCCTAAACAGGGTTGCTAAACGTTAATTGTCTGTATTTAAATTAATAGTGCATTCTGTTCTTTTAGATATTAGAACAACATGAATTACAAAACAAACTAACTAAATTTTGGAAGTTTAGGGTATCTGGTTAGTTTAATATTCAACTTACATACTAAAATAAAGAGCTAAATTTGATATTTTTTATCTTTTTATAGTCTAAACTAGACAAGATACTGATAATCCCACTGATTTGGTCTGTAGACCTATTTCATATCAGCATACAATGCAACAGACATTTTAATGTTTTCTCTAATGCTATTTCTAAATAAAAAATCCATTCCTTGAAGCTATTTTTGGTAAACTTACAGTTTTGGAAACAAGCAAAAACAACTTACTTAGGCTTCTAGACCATTCTAGTTTAAGCACCATAGCATTTAATCCTGCTAATACTTGAATAGCTAATATGAAAGAGAGAATCAAGCTTGCCAACTATGATATTACTTTGTGAACTTTTGCTGCTGTGCTTATGAATTAAAAAAACAGCAGGAAATTGTGTGAATACTATGAATACAATATGCCAAGAGATTTCATTCTCCTTAAGAGAGGTAGACATGAATATACTGGTTAAGTATAACTGGAGTTACCTTACTTTAATGAAACCTTAACAATAATAACAAAACAATAATCCACATAAATGCAGCATACATCAAGCTCCTATGCCCAGTTGATAATGTTTAACAAAGGATGAGGTCAAACCCAAATGGCAGCTTTCAAGATGTCATGTAACAACAACTGGAAACAATAAAGGACTGGCCCGCGGTGCCTCTGCCAGTGAAAATGGAGCTCAGGAGAACCACGTGCAGCCCTCCCAAACTCTGTTTTCACTGGCAGAGGATTGCAGGAGGCTGTCCCAGTCGAAAATGGAGATCGGGAGCCCGTTTTTGCTGGCAGAGTGCTTGGGCCACCACAGACACCCCCCCCCACATGACTGACATCAAGGTGGCCTGGCCAAGGTCAAAGCCTGGTGTGCAGCCCTCAATGAAATCAAGTTTGACAACCCTGCACTATTGTATCAGTAACAGACAATTGGATAATAGAAGACTCTGTAAATATTTAATTAAACCAATATATTATATGCTGTGGTAAAACTGATTAGCCTTTCTTAGGCATGCCATGACAAAGATGCCAAGACCCTAACCTTAACCCTAACTCTAAGTTGGAAACAACTTTAGCAGAAAGTTGAGTAGCCTCAAGTCCACTTTCTCTTTTCTGATAAACTCCAAGCTGGAGAAATTGGGATACGAGGTAGACATTTTGCAAACCTTTTTAAAAAGTGCTGAGGAAAGGAATGGAGAAAGCAGTAGACTGTTCCATAAGAGCATAAAATGTAATTGCTAAAAGGTAAATTGAAATGGATAAAGAATTAATTTATGAGAATTGTGAATGGAAATCTTTTATTTCACATGAAGTCTGTGAAAAGTTTCCAGCTGGCATCATCAATGGACTGAGTTTTAATTTAGTTTCAGTCATAAATTTCCAAAATATCATTTATGAAAATATAGGAACTTGGATCTCCCTGCTGTCAAATATAGGGAAGACTGCTTCATAATATCCTGATTCCCAATAGACTATGTGAGAATGGGACTGATTGAATAATTATATTATAACTTATAAAATAGAGAAAAGTATGGTTCTGGATGATCATGAGTTACCATAACATGTCTTGACCTTACAAGCCAGTTTTATAAAGTCCTGGCAAGAATAGAAGAGTCTTACAAATAATTCTCTTTCAATAAAGTTGCACGAAATTACACCTGAATGAATCCCCCTGCAGATTTTTGAGCAATCATAACTTATCATCATTTGCACTACAGTGTTGGCCATACAGAAAAACTGACATTAAAAGGAATGTTTTTGATAAACAATATGATAACATTATAAAAGAAATAATGGACCAGAATAATTTAAAGGAAATAAAACAGCTCAAATGAAGTGAATTATTAAGGAAAAAGGGAGAGACTGTTCTTGCATGTATAGCATGGCTATCTCTGATCAAATGTCCTTTGTATTCACTTTGTCACATGAAATAGTCTTGGATGAGAGAGTGAGCAGAAGACTAGTATTAAATTTCAAATCCTTTAAATGGAAACGGAAAAGAATAATCCCTGAATGAGATAGATTAATTATCCACATAATAGTGTGTGGATTCTTATTTTAAGATATGAAACTATTGTGACATATTGTACTCATAAAGCGTGTATCACATGGCACAGCCTGAACAGTATTTATGTTGATTTTGTTGTTTCTTTTATCCTAACTGTAGTTAAAGACTATATGTATTGTATGCTGTTTTTATTGTTACATGGTTTTGTACAGTTTGCTAGATATGCAGAGTCTTAAATTCACGCCATGCAGAGTCATGAATTTGCAATGGGAAGTTATATGATTTGAAATAATTGAATATAATTTGAAGAATCCATTACAGGAAAACATAGTGACATTATGAGATCCCTAAGATTGTGACTAGTCACTATGTAAGACTAGTTACTAAGTAAAACAATCTTTGGTCTGACTGCAGAATAAACTTATTACAATCATGGACATCATGTAATCTCCCAATTGCGAAACAAAAATATTCTATTTAAATCTTGTCTCTTGTTTCTTACACTTGAAAATAAATTAGGG